CCCCGAATTTTTTCGGCAATTCCGTTCTCCACTTATTTACATAAAATAGTATGTAAATATTATTATTATTTTTAAAGAATTTGAGCCTCATGTAATCCTCATATGATCCCCATATGAATCTTTAGAGACAGAAACATATTAGAGAGATAGATATAATAATTCATCCTCAATGGCATCATCAGAGTAACAGATAAGCGTCAGAATCAGGGGCATCTCCTCAATTTTGAAACCGCGTTTTTTTATTATACAGAAAAATTTATAACAACTATGATTATAATCACACTCTTGAGACCGATTAAATATTTTCTCACGTAAAAAAAGCCAAGAACAGACAATATTTTTAAGGAAAAATATTGTTATTTAGGATTGAGCAATAGTCGATAATAAAAAAAAATGTTTTGTTAGAACGCCATTAATAGTCCGTAGAATCAGCCCGATATGCTGGTAGGTGGCAAGTGGCAGGTGTTCCTCCTGCCACCTCTGACCCACGATATTAACCACAGGGGGTGTATTCTAGCACCAGCCATTTTTCACATGAGGTACATGGAGTCCATTTATGAACACTTGATGGTAATTATCGTTAATAGCGGTCATGGTTAATAAAGGACGTAATGGGCACACGACGCTCCACTCAAGATGTGATATTTCGTGATAAACCGGGATTTCCGACTGAAAATACATCTTTCATCATTTTAACAAGAACCAGCACGCTAGTTCGCTATTGAAGAAATTTTAGGATAATAACTTTGTCATTATCTTTCTCCATTAAATCGCGATCATAATAATTGAGTTGTTCTCTCCGTCAGTTTTTCCCCTGTTTTTTCCCCATTCATTTTTCATTTTTCACTTGAAAAATGAATCAGGAAGTTGTTCACATCACTTCTATCGAATTAATTCCCTCGCCCCCTCTCATTTTTTTTTATTGAAAGCCTTGAGACGACAGTGTAACATGATTGGAACTTAAATTGGGGGGTATTGTTAGGCGCTGGCCAATTGAGATTTACGGCGCGGTAGATACATCATCTTGACAACTATACGACACCATTGCAAAGCGCATTATATGTATCTTGTGAGCCAACACTTCAGTGCGCGTTGAATTTATCCCGGGGGCTTATAAATCGAGAATTTCGTGAACTTTCTTGAGAGTATCAGGGGAATTATCAGGAGGGCCAGTTGGGGGAAATGCCAAACCGCTTTTATGGTGCAACTGACCCCTCGAATCATGCAATTGGCGCTTCGGGGTGTTATTTTCTGGGGGTTTCCTGTCGTAAAGCTGAATATCGCATGAAGAGGGAGATTTAAGAGATGATGAGCGAGAAAATCTCATGAACTATTCAGGAGTTGAGGATAGAAATTTATGTTATTGGACTGATTGCTCATTTTTTGAGATCACAATCTTGATAAAAATGGGATTTTAATTATTCGGAATAAAAAGAACGCATTTAAAAAAACGTATTTAAAAAATGTATGAAGACGTCATAAATTCTCGAGTATTCAACTGCCCTCCGAATATATACAGCCCCATCCCGATGATGACTGTGAATCGAATAACCATTAAACCTCGGAGTCGGTATAATCTAGATGAGCAGATACATCAACAGTAATTGGAACTGTGAATTCAATTCACATCAGTGTTGTACATTGATGGTAAAACGAACAAACACGTGATATATGTAAGGGTTTGGGGGGGGGGAGGGGGATTAATGCCTAGTAAATACAGGGAACAGCTATTTGACTGAGATCACCTCGATGTGCTGCATTAACGGATTCCAATGGCTCTTGCAATATCTCAGAGGTAATTTCCAAACTTTGTCCATTTGGGAAATATTCTGGATTGATTACTATTTGTGAATTATCCCACAAATCTTTAGAAAGTTGTCTAGTTTTTTTAGAGAAAGCTTGTAGACAGGTTTTGATAGGAAGACATTGAAATATAAATTAAAAAATTAAAAAGTAGACAAATAAATAAACAAGTAAACAAATGGAACAAATGAATGAATGAATAAATAATTCCAAGTCCTCAATGAGATAAAAAACCCATTAACATTCAGATTTCCTCAATTTATTTTTCTCCCATTGTCCAAGACTCCATGTTTTTGTTAAATTTATTAAACCTTTCGCAGAGAAGTTTCTACCATTCGGGGATGTTAATTGCCCAACTTTTCTCCTCTCACGGTGTTGACGGATAAATTAATCATAAACAGAGAAACGAGTTGCGCTGGTTAATTCTCATGGTAAATTGAATTTTTCATGAGCTCAAGTGAAATGGAATCCGAGCTTTTTTTCCCTCTCAGGTCGATACGGAATTTCGCTCGTTGGGTTTACCGACCGTTTTATAGCACTTGGCATGAAAAAATTATGGAGTTTATGTTTCGGAGATAATGCGATAGCCTTGGGATTAACATATATTAATACTTTCGAGGGACGAGAGCCGCGGTCGCGACTGGGGATGAATATTTAAAGGGAAAAATATTTACACGGCTCGTTTATCCGGGGGTGAATCTTGGCTAAATTCTTCAGTTTAATTCCGTTGACAGCAATTATTTCTGCATTTAAATTTCTTTGCTGTGAATTTTTTCTTCCACTTTTGTACGAAATTTTCTTATCAATTCTAAAAAAATTGGACATTCGCCCTCATGCATATGCGACAATTTTTGGCGTTCTCCCTGCATAAATTTTCATTTAACTAAACCCCTGATTCACCGGCATTCCCATTCTGATCTTATTTATATGGCGGTGGAGAACAGATAAAGACATGGAAATTATCTCGTTTAACAAAAGAATAATTCAACAGGGTCTTTGTATTGTAAAAGTTGAACAACCAGAAGAAACTTCTTAATGCCCAGCGAATTTTACCTCAAATCGGTTTTCTTGGCTGGCTCCAACCACGGCCAATTATCCCTCTGCCGTCCAAGGTTCTTCAGCTCTTTGTCGTAATTTTTTGGGCTTTAAAGTTTTGTCGAAAGTGGTGGCATCGTCACCGAGACGATCCGCTATATTCAGTCTGATAATGAACTGTTGAAAATTTTTTATAATGCAAATAACACGTGCATTTGAATTTCATTTACGGAATTTCATTAAATTCTTCAGGAGTTAATTGATTCGGACATTACGACAGTCAACGAGATATTGAAAATTGCAAGATTTTTTAATTAAAAAGAGTTATTTTTTGGCCCTGCATTATGTCGCGAGCAATTTCAAATAATATCTGAAGGGGATGCAAAGTTAAAAAAATATTTAAATGACCAATTAATAATATAATTATATTTTCAATGATAACTAAAAAATAATTAGATTTCAATGAATTTTTACGATGCAAATACTATTTGCATTTGAATTTCATTTACGAAATTTCATTAAATACGTCAGGAATTAATTAACATTGAAATAGATTTTAAAAATGTCAAAAAATTTTATTTAAAAATCTGAGAGTCACTCAACAGAGTCTTTTCCCTCTCTGACTCATTAAATTCTCTCATTTTCTTCATTTAGTTCCAACATTTCAGTTTTTTGGGGTCATTTCCCTTAATAATACATTTACCCACGCTCTCAATGCTCGTACTATCGGGATTTTGAATGCAAAGTGAGAAAGTCAGTTGACGTCTGTCGAAATTGCGAATGCGAAGAGCGCAGGCGGCGATCACTGCCAGGGTCATTTCTGACACCCTGACTGGCGGTCGGGTCTCGTCGCGGCGGCTCGGTCGGCTCGCTCACAGTGCGCTTCAGGAGCGCTACGATATTCTCCCGCGATCCACGCCGGTCTCCCATTCCCGAAGCGTAGCCAATGAAACTAAAGTGAATTTTTCGGAAAAATGTGACACCCAAAATTTACAAACTCATCAACAAATACTAAATTAAAAGAAAACATTTGCAATATCACTCGCATAAAATTAAACAATCAATCAATCAGATTCTGTCGCAGAATCTCTGACAATTTATTTTAAATAGATTTGACATTTGATTCGACGTTTTTATTCTGCTTCTGAATGATTTTTAAATTAACTTCATTCATCAATTTTCATCGCGAATGGCGAGTTGATATATTTGTTTAGCGTGGAAAAATTGGTTCTTTAAATCAAGCCCTTGACAATGACGAATATCAACAGAGTGAATATTTTCTGGTTGAAATATGGAATATACAAGTGGAAATGCATTCCCCACCCCGAGTATGCACGACGTCTAATTTAACAAGGAGCCATGGGGCTTTTATTTATATCGTCGCATTATACATAACCGGAGCCTGCCAGTGTCGTTTCTCATCTGTTAACCCAGTGCTAAAGTAAGTGAACCGTGATGCAACGTTTTGGATATGGTGGTTATGTCGTGAGAATTACCAACAGTGCTAATCATTCTTGTGGAATGTTTCATCATAATTGGAAGACTTGTCAAATTGTGGGGATAAAGCCAAGTCGATTGCAACAGTTTACGGTGAGTATGAGAATTCAGTGTTATTAAGTTTTCATGGGTGAGTTTATGGGAAATTGTCATTCGGGTTTTGCATAATCGTTTGAGGCTGGCGCTTATGCATATTATATTGGTTATTGACGGGGCGCGGGGATGGGACTCTTTCAATTGCCAATTTTGAATTGGCGAGGGCTCCAAGTGTTTAAATACGTGTCGATGCTCGGGTGGAGTCATTCAAACCAATTGTTTTAATCCAGATCAGAACAACTAATCTTTTATTTTTTATCCCTATTTTTTTTTTCTTGAAAAATTATTCGGGATTTTCGTTTTTATTTTGCAAATTTACGCTGTAAATTTCAATTGGCAAGTGGCCGAATCGTTCAAATAAATGTCGATATTCGTGTGGAGTCATTCAATTATTGCACAGGAGGAAAAATTACTCTCAAGAACTTTATTTAATATTTTTAATCTAAATCAGAACAATTCATTTTTTTCATTTTTTATTCTTCATTTTTTTTCTCTAAAAATTCGGGAAAATTTGGAGAATGTAAAAAAAAAAGTGAATTGTAAACTGATGGGGCAAAATGGGTGATTTTTATTTCAGTTAGAAAATATATCAACAAAATGAAAAAAAAAAACGAAAAAGTTTTTGGAGTAAAAGTTTTTTTTTTGTTATGTTTGAATGAATGACTAGTTTTTTTATTATTAAACAACAAATGTTGAGAGGGAATTCTTGACGACTACTGGTCCACAGAAAGTTTTCTTTTTTAAACCCTGGGTTGAAAAAAAAATGGGACAATACAACTGACACGGATCATCTCGAGAGCAAATCTGTCCACAGCTCCTCTTATCTTTCATTTTCCCGTGGTTCTTCCCCTCTTGGCCATTCGCCTTAATTCCCATCCATTATCTCGACAATCTCAGCGGGGTCTATCAGAGGAAAAGGACTCAATTATCCCTTCTACATTTTTTATGGCTTCGGTGTAGTTGGAAATGAGTTCGGTGACGGGGAAAGTATTTAATGACTAGTCACTTTTTGTGTTGGGGTGTGATATGATTTATAAATTAAAGATATAGTTGCAGTGCAATTAACATCGCTTTTTAAACGATTAAATTTTTTAAATAATTAAAATAGAAAAATTGAACATCAAAACTTCAAAATGAAAATTTTTATCAAAGCTTTCATTTAGGGATTTATTTACTTAAAAAAATCCTTTTCAGAAAAATATGTTTGCAGTGCAATTAACATCGCTTTTTAAACAATCAAATTTTTTAAATAATTAAAATAGAAAAATTGAACATCAAAACTTCAAAATGAAAATTTTTATCAAAGCTTTCATTTAGCGATTTATTTACTTAAAAAAAATCCTTTTCAGAAAAATATGTTTGCAGTGCAATTAACATCGCTTTTTAAACAATCAAATTTTTTAAATAATTAAAATAGGAAAATTGGAAATCAAAACTTTATAATGAAAATTGAAAAAAAAATTAATTTAGAGACTAATTTACTGTAAAGAAACTAAACCCCTTTCAATGACACAATTTCCCGGCGGAAAATTCTGTATGAAGTACCTCGGAGTGTAATTTTTTTCCAATGATTGATTTTTCTGAGTGACTGCTCCCAGCGGCTCTGGGCCCTATTTCATCGCTCATCATATCGTCATTCCGAGCAGACGAATGGATTTTTGATTTACGGGAGAGTCTCCAATTATTTGTCAGCGCCGGGATAATCTCAGATTACCATCGATTTATTCGCCGGACAGCGTATTTGAACGAGTGCTCATTGGATTTGGGGGGAATTGATTGGTTCGGTAATCCTTATTTGCTCGCAATTATGAAAAAGTTCGACGGATTATTGGGATTCGTCGGCGATACCATTGACAGTGAGTGAATTTGAAAATGATTTCCTCAGAAGTTTAAGTCGAATAGTTTTCGTGGTGAAGTCATGAGGTTGAATGAAGTGTGATGGGATTCTTTGAGTCCCATAAGATGATCCAATTCAGGCAAATGGGCATTTTGAGTGGAATTTATGTGGATAAGGGTGACAATTGATTTACGAGGGCCTCTGAATGGGCAATCGTCATCACTCGTATCTCGATCTATCACTATTAAGAATATTCGGAGGCTCGAATCAAGAATAAATTCCGACATGATTCTTCCTCGACGTCAAGGGTTGACGTCACTCCAGGGCTATCGCTCCAGCAGTGAATTGATAAGACAGTACAGGGGGTCACATCCTCCGCTTTACGTCGGGAGTGTGCCCCTGGCACAAAGGGAAACTCGATTTATCATGTTTTGTTAGATACCGAATCATCCAGATAGTTAATTGCTTTGGGGGAGAGATTCTTCTGGTCAACTTTTCCTTAACTTTGCTCTTCACGTCCATCCGTTCACGGAAGTTGATGCGAGCGTGATGGACTCGGTGGAGATGCCCAGGGAGACAGAGAAACCAATCATCGAAGTCACGAATGACTAGCTCAACTGATCATTATCGATCTGCCAACTCTACTCGGCCTTTGAGCTGGGCACATTCGCAATATCAAAATCCTAGTCTTCGTAATTACCTCGTATTAAAGTTCAATGATTTGTGGGGCTAAATAATCCGTAAAGAATGATTTTTTTCAACGGTTACAAAGTTTAAGAAGAATATTTATGGAGTTTATTCAAGTTTTATTTTTTTGGTGAGACGATACGAAACAAATTATTAATTTTTTTTATAAAACAATACAAAAATATATTTTTATACATATTTATTTTTAAATAAATATATATAAATATATTTTTTCCTCCGCACACAGAACGCAGAAATCTGCTGGAATCCATTAGAAGGAACTTCGATAAATTAATATCTGTCTGTCATTCACGACTGATATTTCCCCGAACAATTGTCATAACTTCGTTTCATAAATCTGAATAGACCTCGTCCCACTATATACGAATGACTCGATTACGGACATGGTCTTGAATTCCCCGGGGGGGAGAAATCGCTTTCAATCAATTCCTTAATACATTCAGGGTGAGAGCTTCAGTGAGAAGAAATGATTTAACCCGTTTGTCGAATTGAATCGAATAAGCCACGAGAGGAATTTTCAGACGACCCGTTTCGCCCCAGAAGTTTCTTCATTTTATTAAATAAATTATAAGAATTACTGGGGTAAAACGGATTTGTTATTCTTCAATTATCTGTGAAATTTTCTTGTCATCAATGATTTGATTTAGAATATTTTTACTTAAATTATTAAATTGATTTTGAAAAAATGGAAATTCTTTTGATGGAATTTACTGAGAAATAAATTTGGCAATTTTGAGAATGTTCACATTTTTTAAACTTAACTTCTAACAGGGATGATGAAACCCACCTCGTAAAATGATTTTAATGTCTGAGAAACTGTAACTTTTGTTGCTTCATCAGAATATTCCAGTAGGTCTGAAGGAATGCACTTAAATCTCCTTGCGGTGGTGTTTTCCCCATTATCAGGCTGCTGTACCCACGAAACTTCGGGGAAACTGAAGAGCAAAATGCCCCCGTGAAACGGGAGAAGTGAGATAAATAACTGTGGGCTAAATAATGAGAGTAAATCACTCCCGAAGAGTTTCATGGCTTCACACTTATTCAGGGGAGATGTTTTTTCTTCGATTTGAGATGATGCTTTTGCATAAAAAATTCTTGAGGGTCACTCAGGGGTGAAAAATGAATGATTTCAAGATGAGAAACAATTAATTCTTCAATTTAATTCAATTTTTTTAATTGTTTTATTCAGAAAAGAAATATTGATTGAATTGATTTTTTGAATTGATTTTTTTTTCTCTTGAAATCTGAATAAAACAATTTTTAAAAAATCACAGTCCCGATTCACTCAGACCTACATTCCCTCGAACATTTGATCTTCATCGCGAGAATATCCATTACAAATCTACCTAAATAAAACTGATCACCTCCCCAAGGGACAAAAGCTCATTTGAAAGTATATCTGTTACTGTTATAATCCGGAATTTTCGCAAGGGGCAACGGTGCATGTGGGAAGGAGAAATGGCTGATATGCTAGGTGATAACGTGTTTGCATATTACCTTCGAGCATTCCGGTATAGTTGCAATTTACCTCCATAAATGCATTGCACTGTACACGATACAGGTGGCCACAATGCCATTGCAATCCAGTATTTTCTTTTCGTACGTGAGCCTCTGACCCCCAGCATTTCTTTGTGGAGAGAATTTTACGATAAAAATTGCACGAAATGCCTGATAATTAAAATTCTTCTCGAATTCGCTGTTCACTTGATAATTTTCTCCCCATTTAATTTGTTCAATTCATTTTTTTAACTTTAACAACAAATTTAATTTTAATGATAAAAAATGTATTCTTTTTGCTTGGAAGACATGACGCTCGACAAATAATCCATTTATTCAAAAAAATATAAAGAATAATAATCGAAGAATAAATCAGGGGCGAAGTGGTCGAACGGTTTAACTCGATTTTGACTATTCTTGAGTTTTCAATGAATATCTCGCAATCTAAGGCAGATAGCAAAATTTCCGTTATAACCTTTTCGATAGAGCACATTAAGAGCATCAAAAAAGATATATACGAAAATTTCGCTATCTCCCTCAGATTTGGAGATATTCCTCTAAAACTCAGCAAAGAGCTCAGCAAAGACGTAAATTGATGGACCACTTCGCTACTGAAATAAAAAATTGAATAGTATTGAAAAAAAATATGGAAAGTGAACAATTGACGGAAAAAGCTCGAAAATATTCCACCGGCCGAGAGCGCTTTTACGCGCTGACCCTCAGACCTCGAAATTGGACAACAAAATCCAATTTAAAATATTTGCATGCACAATTCCCAAGTCCTTTGAATATTTATTCGACCGTACGAAATGATGTTATTCAGCGAGTACAATTGACCCCTAATTTATGTACGCAAAGGATAACTGACATTAGCTCAATCGTCCTCGCGATGCGCACAAGCTCATTCCGAATATCCCTAGTTTTATTCGTCTACTAATTTACCCCACGCACATCC